ACAGATTTATAGTGACATTTTGGGGTGGGATATCACTGGAATTTGAACTCTGCGCCTTGTGTTTGGCAAACATTCTACCACTTGATCCTTGCCCCCTGCTCTTTTTAGTTTAATTTGTTTTTACATAGTGTCTTGTGCTTTTGCCCAGGCTGTACACCACTATACCAGTTTGGTTTTTTGAGATAGGTTTTCACCAACTTTTTGCCTAAGCTAATCTCAAACTGCTTTCCTCCTATCTCCTCTGCCTTCTAAGTACCTGGCATTTTAGGTGTACACCACCATACCTTGCCCCATGTAGTGAAATTAAAATGAGATGTGAAAGAACTACTGAATACTAAAATTTTTTGAGGGGGCTGCTGTTAATCCATCCACTGGGGAAACATGTTAAAAAATAGAAGAGATTGTACCCATTTAGCTCTAGTCATTTGAGTATTACACAACATACCTATACTTGCTCCCAGCCAGAAAAAATAGTTGTAACCTTGTGAAACTGTTTTTGTTTTTTATTCTGTCCTTTCCCCTCCAGAAAAGGGTCTTACCATGTAGTCCAGGCTGGCTGTAAAATTCTCCAAAACTGATGTTTTAATAGGTCTTCAGAAAGTTCTTTTGCTGGTTACAAAGAAATACTAGCCCCTGTTTGCTAAGTTTAAATGAAGTGAAAGATTTCCATAGGAAAGTTTATTTTGTAATTCTGTAATTTTAGAGAAAAAGATGATGACCAAGAGTTAGTATTATGCTTTCTAATAAAGCCAAATTCAATCCTGTGTCAAATAAATCATTGGCTGCTTGGCTTCTATCACACTCCATCCGTTTAATAATAAATTGCTTGATGTTGTGGCTGGTTGTGAATAAAGCTACAGTGGTAATCTGATATATTGATTCCTAAGTCAAGCACGCTGTTGTGAACAATTACCAACCTCAAATGAGGTTGTTTTTGATTACAAGAACCAAGTAGTTTGTGCCTTTCAAAAGATACATATTTTAATTTCTGTGAGCATTGGTGTGGTTTTATTTTTGAAGGGAGATATTACACATGGAAGTAATATACTTGTTACCTAATAAGCTTTTGTCTGAGGAGTTCTATACTTAACATGCACGTAAGATTAAAGATAAGTTAAATTTTAATACTTTAAGAGGTAGGAAATGCCTCTTAAAAACAAATTGATAGGCAGGAAGATGGTGAGTTTGAGGCCAGTCTGGGCAGCATGGTGAAACCCTGTCTTTAAAACAAAACCAAAAAAAAAAAAAAAAACAGTAGAAGAAATCACTATGGAATGTTTCCTGAATAGAACACCTTGTGTTTACAAACCCACTTGGCAAAATTGTAGATAAGAAATGTACTCTGAACACATTTTGGAATAAACACTTTCTCCAAGATAGAAAAACCTAGTAAAATAGTTTGGATGATGACATGAATTCTTGTTTTTAATTTGTGAACTACACTTAACTTCATAGGGAAACAAAGCCACTAAATTTCAGCTAAACATTTTCAGTTATGGCTGTGTTTCAGCAAAATTACAGATCAGTTGAGAAATTATTCTGATACCATTTATTAAAATTAACCTTGGGTTAGTAATACAAATAGCAAAGGGCACAGTATTCAAGTTGATACTTAATAATTTAAAGGCCTCTCATTTGGCATGCTCTGTGATAAACACTGGAAAACACATTACAATATCCCTGCTCTCAAGGAACACATAGAAAGGAGTTTTATTTACTGTTCATGTATTCCAGATGAAGTACTTTTACCTCCTAACTTCCAACCCACTTACTCTAGGTAATAACATTCTATTCTACTGTACAGAGAAAATAGAAGCTTACAGCCTTGAAATATCTTTAAGTTCTGCTTTAGACCTCTTTTTATACACACTGGTTGTCTCTGCTATCTTTTGAGTACCCAAACCTGTGCTTCTGAATCCCGGATTCCCAAGGAATTTTTTGCAATTAGTGATTCCTTCTTTTTTGCTGGTTATATCTCCAATATGTTTCTTTAAATTCTTTGTCAGTGATTCCTATCTATTAAAATTTTGCTTTTATAAGCAGACCCTTTTTTTTAACCAAACCTTTTGTTTAGTATTCAGTGGTTATTTAACACACACTTAATGATCTTACTGGAGGAGGGGGAAAGAGAGGTTCTTGCTAAGAAAACCAATTTTTACTGCATATTGGGCCTTCTGCTTGCTAGATAAGTGCTCTACCAGTTGAGTCTCGCCCATAGTCTCCCTATACATCCTAAGTTGACACTGAACTCACTGTCTTCCTACTTCAACACTGGGATTACAAGTGTGCACCACCATGCCTGGCTAGAAAACTAGTTATTACTCCATTTCCTTTTACAGTTAAATTTCTCAAAAGATTTATATTTTTATCTAATTGCTCATCTTACATTCACAAGACCGGTATTTAAGATTACCAGGGACTTGCTAGGTGCTTATTGAATGAAGTAAAAGTAGTGTACATTTTCAGCCCTCATCTTGAATTCTAGGCACCATTGACAAGGTAGATTACTTTCCCCCTGAAAGCTTTTTATCTCTCTTGGTAATGAAATGCTAGGATTCTTCAGTATAACTTGGTGAGAGTCTTGTTTTCATGGTTTCATCTGTTCAGTATTATTTACTCTCTGTCAGAATACAGAGACTATTCACACAATTTTATTTCCAACTCAAGCACCAGAACAATACCCTTTGTTTCTTAAGTTTCTCTACTTGCAAGCATAAATGAAAAAGCAATAATTGGGGGTCAAATGATATTTCTTTCATTTTACCCTTAAACTTTTCCTTTTTATAGTAAAACGCTTCTCAACCTTTAGTTAGCATCAGAATCACTTATAGGGCTTGTTATAATACAGATTACTGAGCCCCACTTCCAAAGTATCTGATTCAGTAGGGCCTGAGAATTTGCATTTCTTAGCAAGTTCCCTGGTGATGCTGGTATAGGGACTTTGAGAACCAGTGCATTAGAAAAGCGAAATGACCTGTTTCACAACTGGGAAATGGCACAGTTGGGATTTGATACCAGGCAGAGCCAGGCTGACCCTTTTAATCCACCACCCTATCCCAAACATCATACTTCTCTTTTATGATGTATGTCAGACTCTAGAATATTCATAACTAAACTTTGTATTCTTCTTTCAGGTTCACCTTCTGTGTTTTCTTTGCTGCCATTAGTAAAGGCTAGAAGCTTTCCTCATTACCTTAGCCCCTCCTCCAAGATTCAATCTGTTACCAAGCCCTATCAGTTATACCCACACAAGCATCAAAAAATTTATCCACTTGCTTTCTTTGTCACTGCTACCAAGTCAAAGCCACCTTCAGACCTCACCTGGGTTGCTGAAATAGCTTTCTGATTGGCCTATGTACTTCTCTTCTTGCCCTTCTTTAGTTAATTCATAATAACAGCAACAAGTAATTTTTTTAAAAGGCATAGTTGGTTCTCTATTAAAATCCTATCCCTTTAAAAATAAAGGCCAAAATTCTTACCATGGTTTTAATGAAATCTCTTCATTACAAGGGTATTTCCTAGTACGCATACTTTGCCATCATTTTACACTGTTCTCACAATCAAATGATCCTGCACGTCTCTTGGAATTTTAGTACCAAGTTTGTTCAATGATTCTGAGTTTTATAGCTGTACACTAGAACCATTGTTGTGTAACATTCCATTGCGTGAATATATGACAATTTATTTGCCCATTGTAAGTATCTTCTATACAGAGGGTCTTTTTGTTTAATCTTGAGTATTGAGGCATCCAGAGCAATAAAAGGATGATAATACTAAAGATCATAAGTCTTGAATGGGAGGTAGAGGAGAGATTATTCACAAGAAACATTTTTTAAATGTCCTCAGATACTTAACTCATTTGAGAGAATAGAGGAGGTAGAGCTGCAGCTGGAATGATATTAGAGTCAGAATCAGGAACCTGAATATTAAACTAAAAAGTCTGACACTCATCTTAAAAGCTGTGTGAACCATTGCAAATTTTAAAGATTTGTGTTTTAGGAAATGAATACACATGTGAACACTATATTTTGAAAGTAAAGACACAAGGAACTTATTTTATTAGTTGACTAATCCAGGAAAGTAATAATGAGTGCTTGCAAAGGCAGTTTTACAGATTATAACCAAAAGTGTTCATCTCACTAGCTTGCTTTTCTTTAGCACTGCCTTCTCTCATCAAGATTAGCTCTAGCCAAAAAAGAAAAAAAAATAGCTCTTAACAATGACCTTTTTTCTAAGTTCTTCCCCTACTATTGTAACTTCATCTTTCTACTTCTGAACCAAGACAGAAACAACACCGGTCTGTTTTACGTATCTTGTACTTACCAGTACAGGCAGTAGCAGGTATCATTTGGGTAGAAAACACCATTATTGTAACATTTGGCTTTTATTATCCAATTAAATTCTTATGTCAGGTCTATGGTATGACAGATGTAGATGCAGAAACTGAGGCAAATGGTTGCATAGCCTGTAAGAGAGCTGGGATTGGTGCTTTATTCACCTTGACTAGTACACTGTACTTAACTGCATTCACTGTGCACATGTTCTTGTAGTTGAAAACCATGTCTTGAATATCGAGTTAGGAGTTCACAAGTTATTTTAGATGTATTTTTTGCGTTTATTCATACATGAATAAATTTAATTGAACATATTACTAAATCTAATGTAATTTCTAACATTAGTTTACCATGTTTTTTGAACTAGTCAAAAATATCAGGCACATGTTAGCATTTTCCAGTTATATTTAGTCAGCAGAGTAATTGGAGGACATATATGTTAGACATTTGGAAGACAGAGATGAGTAAGACAGATATAGTACTTGCTCTCCTGGAACATTAACTTTGCTTTGTACTGATTTAGACATGCTTCTGTAACTTACAGTGTTTAGCACATAGTATTCGGTAATTGCATATTTAGTCTGCATAGAAACAATTGTAAGACAGTGATGTTTGGGTGGTGGCTATGGTGTGGCTTGTAAATAAGTTTTTCTGCGTGTCTTTCAGATTTGGATAGTGCTCTGCTCTCAGGGCCAGATGGTGATAGGAGTATGAATGCAAATTTATTGGCTGAAGCCTGCTCTGGTCAAGATGGAGGTGATGCTGGTAGGTACTGTACAGTTTTTACCAAGAGTACAGCTAAAGATTGGGAAGTGTTTCTGTACATACTAATGAGGATCGCTGGCGCCAGTTGCTTAAACCTGTAATCCTAGCTACTCATGAGGCAGACATCAGGAGGATCACAGTTTGAAAGCCAGCTTGGGCAAATAGCTCATGAGATCCTATCTCGGAGAAAAAAAAAAAAATAAAAACCTCATCACATAAAAGGGCTGGTGGAGTGGTTCAAGGTATAAGCCCTGCGGTCAAACCCCAGCACCGCAAAAAAAAAAAAAAAAAAAAAAAAGGGCAGGGGGAAGAATCTACTGCAGTTTCTTTATATAAATACTTCCAGTCTGTGGCTTTGGAAACTTAATAAATACAAATTGATTTCTGGTTTTGTTTAGGAGACTTATTTAGAATTTTTAAAACTTAAATATCAAAGGTAGTTATGGAACTTATGCCTTCCAGTTGCCATTATAGAGGGTTATCGTCAGAATGGTTGACTAGTGTATTTTAATTGGCTTTGCGAAATAATAGTATAATTGATGACTTTAGAAAATGTTCGCTTTGAGTAGTGATATTTATATTAGGTAAACTTGGAAAATTTGGCAAACTTTTTTTTTTGGTGGTACTGGGGTTTGAACTCAGGGCCTCATGCTTGCTAAGAAGGTGCTCTACCACTTTAGCCACTCTGCCAGTCCAACTTTAAAGCATAAGAACACCAGAATTACATATGTATGTTGAAAGTAATAGAGTAAAATGTGAAGGTTTCCTTTACTGAAAAATGTGAAACTAATTGGAACAAACTGAAGTTAAATGCCAACTAATGTGATAGCTAGCACATATTACCTATGCAGTATTCTTGCAAAATGTTTAACTGTGAAGGAAATGTGAAGCAAACCTGAGTAAATCAATCCAGTAACATAGCAGACAGTCCAAACTGCAGTGTCATGGAAGACAAGCTCGAGAACCACTAGATGAAAGGAAACAAGCTAAATGTAGTATGGGTCTTGACTGGGCTTTTTGCCTTTTTAGAATTAAAGGGAGGGTGGAAATGTAATATAAGTTAGTACAGTGTTCAGCTTTAAATTCCTTGGATGGGTTGTGGTTTTGAAGCAAAATGTTCTAGAATTTCACATGCTATATTTAGGGTTGAACTAAAAGTGCAAGTTTTAAAATGGCATATAAACATGCATATATGGGCCAGGTGCCATGGCTCACATCTGTAATCCTTGTTACTTAGGAGGAAGAGATCAGGAGGATCATGGTTCAAGGCCAGCTTGGGCAAATAGTTAGACCCTATCTCAAAAATATCCAATACAGGGCTGGTGGAGCAGCTCAAATGATAAAGCACCTGCCAAACCCCAGTACCACCACTACCAACAAAAAAAAAATCAAAAGAAAAATGTGTGTGTATGTTATACACAAAGAGAAAGAACATTGAAGAAGAAAAAAGGTAAAGGGCTATGGATGTTCAGTTATTCAACTGCAGTAGCTTTGAAATTGTTTTCATTATTAGTGCTAGAAGGAAGGCAGCTGGGACACTGCTTACAGTCAGTCAGTCAAGGGCCTTACACACACTAGGCAAGCACTCTACATCTGAACTAGACCCCCAGCCTTTTTGTGTGTGTGTGTGACATGGTCTTGTTATGTAATCCAGTCTAATCTGACTTTTTCCTTTTGGCAGTACTGGGGTTTGAACTCTGGGCTTCATGCTTGCTAGGCAGGCACTCACCACTTTAGCCACTCCACCAGCCCTTTTTTTGGTACATGGTATTTTTCAAGGTAGAGTCTCTCGAACTATTTGTCCAGGGTGTCCTCAAACCTTGATCCTCCTGATCTCTGCCTCCCGAGAGTACATAGGATTGTAGTATGAGCCACTGGTGCCTAGTTCTAGCTTTTATTGAGATGGGGTCTCAAGAACTGTTTGCCTCTTCTGTCCTCTAACCCTGATCCTCCTGGTCTCAGCCTCCCAGGTAACTAGGATTATAAGCATGAGCCACTGCGCTCTGATATGTAAAATTTAACCTTAATGCATGTAAACATTTTCTGTAGCAATATAGCTTCAGCATCCCTGATCTGAAATCCGAAATGTTCCAAAATCTGAAACTTGAGCACCAGCATGATGCTGGGAAAGTTTCAGATTTGGGGAGCATTTCAGATTAGAGATGTTCATCTGTATTACTGCATGAATAAGCTGTGTGTGTGTGTGTGTGTGTGTGTGTGTGTGTGTGTGTGTGTGCTTGAATAAGCTCTGTGCGTGCGTGCGTGCTTCACGCTGATAAAAATTGCCTTGAAGTGGGAGCCTGTTTACTTACTGTGGCAGTATTGTTGGAATGGAGCAACCAAGGGGATAGTTGGAAATAGGCTCCATCAGGTAGGATATTGAAAGTTTGGCTTTTTAGTGAGTTAAGTGAGTAGCCTTTTGCAGCTTTTTGAGTAGACTAGTGACAGGCTCTCAGTTGTGATTTAAAAGAATCTCTGTTGTGCTGAGTACAGGTTCTGTAATAGCAACAATGGGAACCAGGAGACAAGTTGGCACCCTCAGAAAAATAACCCAGAGGCTAGAATTGGTGATTGATTGGGTCAGGGTGGCAGTAGCTTTGGAGGATTCTGGATATATTCCTATTGTTCAAAGATTCCTGGATCCAAGAAATTATGTACAAAACCAAGATGGAATTAAATCCAGGAGACAATTCCTCCCTGTATTAGTTCATTTTCTGTTACTATAATGAAATAGACTGCACATTTTATAAAGAGGTTAGTTAGCTTATACTTCTGGTGGTTCATGAGTTTTTTACTTTTATTAGTGCTCCTAAGACATACAGAAAATCTTCTCTAATTTGTAGAGACATATTATTTTTTTTGGTTGTACTGGGCCTCATGCTTTCTAGGCAGGCAGGCATTCTCACCACTCCACCAGCCCTCTTTTGTGATGGGCTTTTTTTTTTTTTTTTTTGAGACAGACTACCACAATCTTCCTGATCTCTGCTTCCTGGCTAGGATTACAGGTGTGAGCCACTGGCACCTGGCAAGATCTTTATTATCATTACTTCACAATCACTTTTCAATTGTTATTAGGTACTTCACATGATTTCAAGTATGGTTTGATGCCTGGCCCTTCAAGTGATTTCAAGTATGGATTGATACCAGGTACTTCAAGTGATTTCAAGTATGGATTGCTACCAGGTGCTTCAAACGATTTCAAGTATGGATTATTGCCAGAATCTTGGCCAAAACAAGAAACATGGGAAAATGGCAAGTATTGATCAACTAAACAACTAAAAAATCTTAAATCTTTCCTATTCTGGGTTTTAAAAAATAAGTAGTTACCCTATATTCTATTGCTGTTTTTAGGGATAGATGTAGAAGTTGTGGTAGTTTTTTGTTTAATAATAAGTGCTTTTTAATTTTTTTAATTCTGAAGGTGAATCATCTCTAATCATGGACAAGTTAAAATGCCCTCATTGTAACTATGTAGCCAAATACAGACGAACACTAAAAAGGCACTTGCTCATTCATACCGGAGTAAGATCATTTAGCTGTGAGATTTGTGGAAAGCTGTTTACTCGAAGAGAGCATGTAAAAAGACATTCCCTGGTAAGTGACTTTAGCTATGAATGATCATTGAGATAAACTGTGTTTATGTCAGTGTGCTTGAAAGCATTTGAAACTTTACTTGTGAGTTTAAGAATGAATGATTCTTAGATCTCTTAAAGAATGATTTATGAAATCATACTAGCTTCATACACAAAAATGTTGGTGTGTTCACTCATTTCTAAATGTGTGGTTTGAGTTAAGTTCGCATTCTGTTTCTATACTGCCTTACGTTGTATTTCCCCCCTTCAATTAGGTGCATAAAAAAGATAAAAAATACAAATGTATGGTGTGTAAGAAGATCTTCATGTTAGCAGCCAGTGTTGGAATAAGACACGGATCTCGGCGCTACGGTGTTTGTGTAGACTGTGCAGATAAATCACAGCCAGGAGGGCAAGAAGGTGTAGATCAGGGACAGGACACAGAATTCCCTCGGGATGAAGAATATGAGGAGAATGAGGTTGGAGAAGCTGACGAAGAGCTGGCTGATGATGGAGAAGATCAGAATGACCCATCTCGGTGGGATGAATCAGGAGATGCTTGTATGTCTCTGGATGATTAACTGACGACCTATACTCCTCAAGGATGCTGCATTTGGACATAATATGAATCGACAATTTGGATTGTTGAACTTGAAGGCTTGCAAAATATGGTACATGCTGGATGGTAGTTATTGCTGTGAAAACTGTAGGGTCAAAGCCTTATAGCAAAAAAAAATTTTTTTTTTATATTTGCACAGGACTGTACAGCAAACAACCATGTGGTTGGATTACATGGAGTCCCCACATATTCAGTCAGTTATCAAAGTAAAATATTTTTTATTTATAGGATATACAGTAACTTTGGGTCCTATGAAAATAGTACTTGTCCTTTATAGAACTTACATTCATGTGCCACTTTTTAACATGAATGAAGAAAATCCATTTATGTAAGTACAGTGACAGTTGACCCAATCACTCTGTCCATCAAACCACTCAGGCTAGTTTGTACTAGTAGAGTTTTGTTTCTATTTTTATTTTTATTAATTTTATTTTTTTTAATACAGATTTTCAGTGAGGGGCTTTTTCAACCCCATTGGTTCTATTTTCTTGTATTTTTCCATTTTAATTTGCTTCATAACTTAAACCAAGTCTCTTCTAGTCTTAGGTATTATTTCTCAGTTTTGTGCTGATAGGCATGTTTATAAGAACTGGAGAGGTAATTTATTGGAATGAACTAATCAATTCCCCTCAACCCCCTTTCCTTTTTTGACATGAATTTTATGACTTCACAAATGAAGAATGACGTTGCGAGGTTATCAAGGCGAAGTTGACAAATGCCACTAAAATGATTATGATTTAGAAGTAACTTTCTCTTGCTGCTCTAATCTAATAAATGGTTGCTATCTGATGTTTCCTGACATGGTTTTGGGTTTTGGGTATCTGTTACTTTGGCACTATTCTTGTTTGCCTCTTACTATTTTTGCCAGTGTACTATACCTCAGCCTTATTTGAAATACAGAAATCTGATTGAAGAAAAGTCATAGAAACAATAAGAAAAATTATTTGTTTTATGATTTATCCTCCATGTCCAGTTTGGTTAGCTTGTTATGCAATATAAGTGAAGTATCAGGTTTTTACTCTTGTGCCCTTTTATCATTAAAATTAACACAAAATATGCATTCTCTTTTGTTTCATACTTACCATGATATATTTTGAGTATTCTGAAATTATGGTTGATAATTAAGTTATTTTATTTTTCCATTCCTTAAAGCACTACACCTTGGTTCAATCTTTCTAGTCACCACGATTCAACATTCTACAAAAATATTTCAGATACAGTGTTGAGGCTTTATTATTCTATTAACCGAATTCTTCGGGGTTCAAATGTGATATATTAAGTTGAATTGTTAAATTTACTTAGCCTGGTGACAATACAATTAGCTGATTGTGGAACTCACAGCAACATTTCACATATTAACATGGATGACATTTATCAGGAGCATATTGTATGTTATATAAGATTTAGGGACATCATATTTTCAGCTTTATTTCAAATAAAAATTGAATATATTTTCCTATTTTATATCAGGTAACTAAATTATGGTAGTTGTGTGGAAGAAGTTGCAAAGATGCTTTGACAGATACAATCCTTTTGGTGCTCCCTCTGATCAGAGTTGCAAAATTGATATTTTTTTTGAAGAGACAGATTTTATCATTGTCTCGGATTTCAGTAGAATAATGGTTTAATGTTAGACAATGATGTTTCTGCTTGAATAAATCAAAGATAAAATATAGTTTCATGGTTAGATGCATCATTTGTCTAAACTTTGTTGTAGTTTCTACATAACTATAAGCCTAGCAGATGAATAGTTTTGGCTTGAGTTTTGTTTAAAACTGAGGAGTACATCTTATATTCAGTGTTTGAAACAAATGAGTAAAATGTAAATTCTAGTGAGGTCCAAAGTAGAAATTAGTTGGGCAAACATAACTATGAATGAAAAAGTATTTTAAACTTAAAAATGTTCTGCTTTGTGAATATGTAAGTATAGTATAAAGATTTCTTTCATCCCATTTATCCCCATCCTTTAAATAAACCATAGTTTACAATTGGTAGATCTGTCTATATATAAATATATATTAAAGAGCAAAGATATATATCTAAAAATCACCTAAATCTGCTTTATTAGACTATAGTTCACTTATTGCATAGAAACTGGACTTGGCTTTACATTTTTAATGTAATTTTACTTTTCCTCAAGATATGAACTACTCTCTTGAAACTGAATTTTCTTTTACTTAAATCGTTTATGTATATCTGGTAAATTATGACCAAATTTTTGTTAGATTGCGTACAGCAAATTGAAATACACACTTGGTACACTACAGGATTGTTGTGCTTTTGTTTTGGTTTTAGTTGGAAACAAGGTTTGATGTAGATGGCTTATTACTGTTAATTTAAAGTATTCTATAATTGTCCATTACCTTTAATGTTGTGTTGTTGTGACAGGTTTGGCTATATTTTTAGTCATCTGAAATATACTTTAAAAGCTTGTTTTTAGGTAATCCAAAGGAAAAATGTTTATACTCTTGAATATATTAGCCTCAGCCTATATAAAAAATTTCTTTGAAGTAAACATTTTACCAGAATCAGAATTGACAGATTTTTCTACTTGTTGACTGCCTAACTTATTTTGTTTCATGATCTTGAGGGATTGGTTTTTTCCCTTCTAGATCTTTTTTTAAAAATAGTTTTAGTACTAAGGTATACTACTGGACGTTTCTATTTTTTTAAGTATATTACTTTTCTGACTTTACAGTACAACAATTTCAGGAAGCCAATAGATACTACAAACTTAGAATTGGTCTCAGAGAGGTAATAGAATGAATACTTAGAATTTTGTCTGTGGAACTCTGGCAGAACTATGTTACACATTTGGTGAGGTTTTCTTGTAATTTATATTTTAAATGAGAGAATATCTTGGAGCTTTTAATTTTAATGGAAAAGAATATAAACTTTCATATTCCCTCTCATATGGCCCTCTCAGAACTCAAAATTATGTATTATTTCTTAGAATTCTCCAAGACAGTTACTTCCATAGGGTCCCCTTTTTATCTTGGTTCTTGGCCTTATACTTTTTCTTATTTATTAGATAATTTTTTTAAATGTCTGCGCCTTAGCAATTGAGAGCTTAAATAAGAGGTAGAGGAAACCGGACAGCAACAAGTAGTTTTAAAATTAGGGGGAGGGGAAAACTGGCTGGTTTAAATTGAGCCATCCACATGGAGAAGACTGAGCTGAGTTAGTTCATGTGAAGTCCTTAGAACCCTGGTACACACAGGATGCATAATATATCATAGTTGTTGGAAAAATGAGAAGAGGGAGGAATAGGAAATGAAAGAAAGGATTAGGACTTGTGTAAAAGGCATGAAGATGACTGGCATGTTATAATGTGGAGGAAAGTGTGATGCAAGTGCTTTTTAAAAATCTTAAAATTTAAAACTTTAATAAACTTTATATTTTTAGGATTTTCTGAACATAGCATGAGAGCTTTAGACCATTTTCTGAAAAATGATTCCAAAAGCTACCAATTTTTTGAATGCCCACACTTGCCATTGTGCCATCTCCATTATTTTATCTAATCCCTATAAAGTAGGTGCTATTGTCTCCATTTTATAGATTAAAAAAGGCTCAGAGAAATCCAGAAACTTGCCTAATTTAATGCAGCTGTAATAGAGCTGGGACTTGATCAGGTCTGATTCTGTAGCCCAGGCTCTTTGTAGGAGGCTCTGTTGCTGCCTCATTAAACTACTTTTTGGTAGAATTGCACCTCTTTAATGGAGTCTATCCGTGGATATTTATATTTTCCCCATAAAACAGCTATGTTAGTAATTTTGTGAGTGTCCTTCCTCCCCCAATAAAATAACACTTATTTCTCTTTCCTTCTGATAAAGCAGTTGTTTTGTTGCTTTGACTTAAACAAACCACATGACCTCAGTGTAGAAGATGCTGTTTTGGGCTGTGGCACTTTTCATTTTTAAAAGGATAGTTTTTAATCCAAACGATACTAGCCCCAGTTTTTGTGCCGTTCAGTCACCCGGATCCTTAAACTTAACTATGGTACCTAACATACACATGTAGAACTAACAAACAGGTGTTTTTAAAAGTCACTTTAGGATTTAAAATGGAAGGTTTCTCCCTCCCTCCCCCGCTGTATCCCTGCTTTCAAGTGAAGATGAACAATTGTAGGTAGTTTAAAATGTCTTAGGGATAAGCACACTTTAAAAGATGTTTTCTAGCCTTTAATTTTATGACATTGGGTACTTAAATTTGGAGTACATTAGTTATTGAGAACAAAATGTTAGGTGGAGGAGAGGGGTGGTTGAGGCCATTATGAAATGGGAGAATCAGCATTTAAACACTGTAAACATAAAAGAATACTTTCTTCTGCCTGCTGTTTGTAAAAGCTCTCTGGGAAGATCTTTTACGAAGACCAATTTTTTTAAAATGTAATTTACCTACCTAATATAAGTGTCCTATGA